TCCATGTCTTCATCAGTTTCTAGGAAGATCTCATCCTCTTTAGCTTTTTCTTCAGGGGATACAATCCACGTTTTGTACTTAGCAGGTGGCACAAGGCTGGAGACCAGGACATGGCAGAGGTGGGGTGGAGAGAAAGGGGCAGGATCTAGAAAGGCAAACCCTTGCCTCCTCTCACCCCCGGGGATTTCCCTTTCCTGTCCATTCCTATTGGACGCTCCCCTCCCACACACCTGCTTCTCCACAGAGAGTCCCTCCCACAGCTGGCCTGATGTTCAGGATGCAAAGAGGTGGGTAGTTGGATCTGCCCTGCCCCATGGCATCCTCTCTCCCTAAGTTAGCATCTGACTGTGATGTGCCCAGTAGGGCCCACGCCAAAGGTGAGTCTCACACTCACACCTGGACAGATGCCCACGCCCGGCTAGAATGGATTGAATCCATTTCACTCACACACAGAGGACATGGCTGTGCTGACCATGGGCTGGGTCTGTGGACAGAGAGACCCCAGTGTCCATATCAAAAGCATGTGGAGGGGCACCCCTGCTCCAACTTTCACCCTGAGTCCATTCCCCTCCCTGTGTGTGGCCCCCCTGGGTCCCTCTCTTGTCCTCACAGAGGTGGGAAGCTCTGCACTGATGACTTCTGGCTGCACCCAGGCAGAGTAGCCACTCAACTTTGGCCCCCATTGTCTGTTCTGCTTCCCTCTTCATCTGGGGAACATCCACTTCCCTTTTGGGCTTTGAGGATGGCCACATGTTTCAGAAAGTGCATAGCCTTTCTCAGCATCAGGAGCAGATGGGGATTTGTACGTGGGTATAGCAATCATCCAATTCTTGCGGAGTTCTGAACAACACCACTCATGGCTCACTTCACAGGGCTTAGTCAGATGTGGAAGCAAACCAGGATGGCTCCCTCCCGGGCCCCGCGGCACCGACCCCACAACCACTCTAAGGAGTTGGGTTCTTGGCAATGTGCTGCAGTAGAGGAAACTGAGAATCTAGAAGTTGTACTTTGAGGGTGAAGGTCACACACCTAATTGACAATGGAGGACGATTTAAATAAGAATCAGCTCAGCTGTCATGGCTCAGGGTTTGCATATTGTTCTATGAACCAGGAGGTTGAGGTTGGATTCTTCGTGAGGGCAGATATCCGGGTTGCTGGGCTCAATCCTCCCTGTGCCGCATGCAGGGAGCAGCCGGTCAGTTGTTCTCTCCCTTCATGGATGTTTATATCTCTCTCTACCTCTCCCTTTCTCTCTGTAATCAATAAAAATATATATTGAAAATAAAAATAAATAAGAATTCGTTTTGTTCCCCAAATCACAGCAATAACACACATATTGTCACTGACTGTGAAGACAGGGGCCCGGGACGAGGAGGAGAGATCTTTTTGAGGAACAAGGCACTGAGGGGAGGAGGGACTCAGAGGGGTGTTCCTACTGGGGTGGATGCTGTTGCAAGAAAGGGGAGGTGACCAGGGGCTGGGATAGGAAGAGAACCACACTCTGGGGCCAAAGGGGGAGAGCTGTTTCCTCCCCTTATTTCCCTGCATTTCCCCTCTGTGCTCATTGTCACAGGGACATCGCCCTGAGCTGCACAGTTGGAGGGTGAGCGTGTCCCTGCTGATCTGAGCTCTGCAGGCCACAGGGACCTATGTCTTCCTCAAGCATCTCCAGGGCCCAGGTGACACTGTCCATGGTGAGTACCACAGGGAGGTGCTGATGGACGGGCTGAGGAGGAAGGAGACCCCGTGGGGGAGGCTCTGACAGGGAAGGATGTGCCCTGGGTCACCTCACCTGCAAGGGGCGTCTCAGGAGGCTCCGGGTCTATTACCTGCTTCACCATGAAAATGAGAGCCAAGCTGTGCCCTCCCCTATAGGCTGCTGATGTAACAACCCTGTGATGGGAACGATTGGCCTCCAAGTGACCACCACCTGTGCATCTCTCTGTCCATCATGCTTCCTCCGTGGCCTCCTCCGTCTGCTCAGCTGAGGCCACAGGGAGAAGACACTATGACCTCCACCCTCACAGCCCTGCTCTGCCTCGGTGAGATGGGAGGGGGAGGGGAGCCCTGGTCTATCAGGATCCCAGGACTCAGGAGGCTCATGGGGAGAAGGGAGGTGCTCAGGGTTCAGGGCAAATCTCTCACAGGGACTCTCTTCCAGGGCTGAGTGTGGGCCTCAGGACTCCAGTGCAGGCAGGTGAGTCTCCCCAGGTGTCCCAGACCCCACTCCTCACTGGGGACAAGGACCACCCCCCAGGCAGCAGGGGAAGGACAGTGTTCTAAGCTAACAGACGAGTAACATCTGGGAAGTTCCTGGGCTGAGAGCTGGGACTGAGGGTGCGAAATATCTTAGAACACAGCTACTGGTTTCCTTCCAGGGCCCCTCCCCAAACCCACCATCTGGGCTAAGCCAGGCCCTGTGATACCCTGGGGGAGCCCCGTGACCATCTGGTGTCAGGGGTCTCCAGAGGCTGAGGAGTACCGTCTGGAGAAAGAGGGAAGCTCAGCACCATGGAAAACACAGGAGCCACTGGAGCCTGGTGACAAGGTGATGTTGTCCATCACCCGCATGACAGAGGGTGATGCTGGTAGATATCGCTGTCAGTATCGCAGCCCTGCTGGCTGGTCAGAGCGCAGTGACCCCCTGGAGCTGGTGGTGACAGGTGAGAGGACACTCAGGGTTCCCAGCCTCAGGCTCTGCCTCAGGAAGGGGGTCTGCTCTCAGGGTGTCTCCCTCTCACAGCCCAGCCCTGGGGGACATAAGGGAGGTGTGAGCCCATTTAACATGCAGCCTCCTCCTCTCCTAGGAGTCTACAGACAACCCAGCCTCTCAGCCGTGCCCAGCCCTGTCGTGACCTCAGGAGGGAACGTGACCCTCCAATGTGGCTCAGGGCAGGGATTTGGCAGGTTCATTCTGACTAAGGAAGGAGATCACAGGCTCTCCTGGACCCTTGACTCACAGCGACAGCCCAGTGGGCAGTTCCAGGCCCTGTTCCCTGTGGGCCCTGTGACCCCCACCCACAGGTGGATGTTCAGATGCTATGGCTGTTCCAGGAACAGCCCCCAGGTGTGGTCACACCCCAGTGATGCCCTGGAGATCCTGGTTTCAGGTAAGTCCCATTATTGTTCCATTAATTGATTGACACACCAGACACATATGGGCCTCCTTACTGTGAGGGGAGAGGGGAAGGGAGCACAGTGGCTCCCGGACCAGAGACACAGAGAGAGACAGTGAGACCTGGGAGCCAGGCCAGCAGAAGGAGGTTATGGGAGGAGCAGCCCCTGTAATTCATGTCTGGTCTCCCCAGGTGAGTCTGGGAAGCCCTCCCTCCTGAGCCAGCAGGGCCCCATCATGGCTTCTGGACAGAGCCTGGCCCTCCAGTGTCGCTCTGATGTCGGCTATGAGAGATTCGCTCTGTCCAAGGAGGGGGGACGGGACCTTCCCCAGAGCCTTGTCCTGCAGCCCCAGGCTGGGCTCTCTCAGGCCCACTTTCTCCTGGACACTGTGAGCAGCTCCCACGGGGGCCGGTACAGATGCTACGGTGGATACACCCTCTCCTCTGAGTGGTCGGCCCCCAGTGACCCCCTGGACATCCTGGTGGCAGGTGAGGAGCCAGTGGGTTCAGTCAGGGAACCAGATCTGCACAGGCCCTGCTGGGCGTCTCAGGTGGTGAGACCAGAATGACAGTGCAGGCCCCAGGGAGGGAGAGAGACAGAGAGAGGCAGGGGGTGGGAGGGGAGATGGGGAGACTCAGAGAAACAGAGACAGAGAGGAGGGTCCTCAGAGAGAGAGGCCTGGTGCCTCTCAGGTCAGAACAAGCTGGGCAGGCAGCCCTCACCCTCCACCCTCCCTCTCTCTAGGATGGCTGTATGACAGACCCTCCCTCTCGGTGCAGCCAGGCCCCAGGGTGGCCTCAGGAGAGAACGTGACCCTGCTGTGTCAGTCACGGAGCCCGAGGGACACTTTCCATCTGTCCAAGGAGGGGGCAGCGGATCCCCCCCTGCATCTGAGATCAGAGCACCGAGCTCAGCAGTTCCAGGCAGAGTTCTCCATGAGTCCTGTGACCCCAGCCCACGGGGGCACCTATAGGTGCTACAGCTCAAACAGCTCCTCCCCCTTCCTGCTGTCACTCCCCAGTGAGCCCCTGGAGCTCCTGGTCTCAGGTGAGGGGCCCCTGACCCTGTCTGCCAGCTATCAGCTCAGGTCCCTTCCCCAGAGGAATTATGGTCTGAAAGGGAGTGAGGGGCTCTAGGGATGGTCATCCAGCGGAGATCTTTTTTTTTTTAAATATATATTTTATTGATTTCTTACAGAGAGGACGGGAGAGGGATGGAGAGATAGAAACATCAATGAGAGAGAAACATCGATCAGCTGCCTCCTGCACACCCCCTACTGGCTCCACTCCTCCCCCTTACCTGGTCCAGAAAGTGCCAGGTGGGCGGTGGGAGGGACTTTGTGAGGACTCTATGTGAGGGGGCCTCCAGGGTCAGCCCCAGACTCTCATTCTCTTCTAGTCTTTCTCAGAGCCCCTGGGACCCAGCCCCTCTCCCATGGGGTCTCCTTTGCCCACAGGGAGACAGCTACCGTGGGCAGATCTGAGTCTGAGGACCTAATGCCGCCCATGCACTAAGGGCAGGCTGTGTCCTAAGGCTGCTAGGAGCTGGGGACAGGTTTCAGGGAACCACAGGCCCCAGGGGCTCTGAGGGTCAATCTCCCCCACCCAGGGAGTCAGGCCCACAGAAAGGAAGTGGGGGTCTTCATGGGGACGTGGTGGATGCCTCCATGAGGACAGGGGCTGAGCCATGTGACGGTTCTGGATCCTCTGAAGTCTCTCACTTGGACACGCCCTTCCCCTGCCTGGGCTTCAATGTCTGCACATGTTAAAACAGTGAATCATGGCCCAAATCTTACATTTCCTGTCGGTTCTGGCCCTGACCTCCTGGGAGAGCGGGGTCACAGAGAAGGCCCCAGGACATGATGTTATGGGGTCTGTCCCCTCTGTCTCAGTGATGGTGACACTGTACAGGGAGGGACAGGCAGGACAAGGGTCCGGGCACCCAGTCCTACCCCTCAGCTCAGGCTCAGCTCAGAGGAGGGAACAGGGTGGATCAGCCCTGGCTCAGCTCCTGGCTCTGCTGCTCCTGCTGCGGGGCTGGGCGGTCCCTTCTCTCCTCTGAGTGTCGGGTTCCTGTCTGCTCATCCCTGGTCCCATCCTGCTCACAGGCTGCTGGGAGATGAGGTGACATGAGGGCCTCACAGAGGTCAGGAGGGCAGAGCCTCCAGCCCAGCCCGACCTTCCCATGGGGCGTCAGGGCCCTGTGGGTGGGGATGGCCCGGGAGAGACTCAGAGTCCACCCCTCACCCTGCCCCTCCTGTCCCTGCTGTGCTGGGGGCGGGTAATGAGGAAGGACCCTCAGCTCCAGATGACACGTGGACAGGCCCCTGCAGAGGAGCCCAGAGCTCAGAGCTGGTGTTCCCCTGGGGGGCAGCGTGAGGACAGCACAGGGAACCCTCAGTCCCGGATTCCAGTCCCAGCCCTGCCCCTTCCAGGCTGGGTGACCTGGGGCACGTGATTAACCTCTCTGAGCCTCAGTGAAATGGGTGGTGGGGTCAGCAATCCCTGGTGCATGACTGCTGTGAGGTGAGAGGAGATGACACTGCCCACACACCCCTGCCAGCTCCTCTCAGTCCCCTGGGTGTCACTGACCTTGGTGCCTCGCACGGTGCTCATTAAATGGCATCACTGGCTCATTCATGACGTGATGAGGGTAAAGAACTCTCCTGACCTTTCATGACTGATTCCTTTCCAGGAGTCGTCCCCAAACCCTCCATCTGGGCTGACCCAGGCCCCATCGTCACCAACGGGGGCTCTGTGACCATCTGGTGTCAGGGGTCTCTGCAGGCTAGTGCCTACGTTCTGTATAAAGACAGGGGCTCTGAGCCTGGGGATACGAGGATCCCACAGGACTCCAGCAACAAGGCCAGTTTTCTCATTGGAGCCACGACCTCACACCACGCAGGGCTGTACCAGTGTGCATATTACAGCACTGGGGACATACTCTCAGAGCAGAGTGACCCCCTGCTCCTGGTGGTGACAGGTAAGGGAGACATCGGGTCCCCTCCCCACTGTGGGCTCCAGGTCACAGGCAGAGGGAATACAGTGTGGCCTCAGGGGACCCCACCCCTCAGAGAACACACCTGGGGCATGAGGGCGACGGTCCCTTTAACACAGACCCTTTCTCCTCCCTCAGGAGTTGGCAGTGCACCCTCCCTCTCAGCCCAGCCAAGCCCTGTGGTGGCCTCAGGAGGGAATGTGTCCCTGTCCTGTAGCTCTAACATCACATCGGGCCATTTCCATCTGCTGAAGGAGGGAGGGGCTGACCTGCCCCGACACATGGAAGCAGAACTGAGGATCCATGCTGGGAGGAGGCAGGCCAAAACCATCTTCCCTCTGGACCCTGTGAGCCCCTCTCATGGGGGGACCTACAGATGCTTCAGTTCTAACAGCTCCTACCCATACGTGTGGTCACAGCCCAGTGACCCTCTGCATATCGAGGTCACAGGTGAGGGACAGACCCAGGTGCAAACGCATCGGTTTCCTGGGCCTAAAACGACTGTGCTGTGTGTCCATTAGAGCCCTGGGCTCATGGGGTCAGTGACACTGGCCTCTTGGGGACAGAACCAGAGGCGGGAGGCTCAGGGAGGGAGGGAGACCTCTCACTGCAGCCCAGTGGGCGATGGGGGTGTCCCCTGGTGCCACTGTCCCCTCCTCCCAGGTGTGCACAGGGAGCCCACCCTCTCAGCCCAGCCAGGCTCGCTGGTGCTGCCTGGACACAGCCTGACCCTCCAGTGCCACGCGGAGGCCGGCTTTGACACATTCGCTCTGACCAAGGACGAGGGGCTCACACACCCCCAGCGCCTCCATGGGCAGCACAGCCCCCACTTCCCCCTGGGCCACGTGAACCACACCCACGGGGGCCGGTACAGATGCTACAGTGGACACAGCCTCTCCTCTGTGTGGTCGGCCCCCAGCGCCCCCCTGGACATCCTGGTGGCAGGTGAGGAGCCAGCCCTGCCCCTGTCCTGAGGGTCTGCTCAGGGCTCTAGGCCCAGGGTCACCTGGGGGTGATGGGGTCCAGGAGAGGGACCTGGAGCAGAGGCTGAGATGGGCAGAGGTCTAGGGGAGGGAGGGAGAAAGGGGGTGAGGGTCATGGAGATAAATACACCCCCCAGGGGGGTGGAGATGAGCTGGGTGGGGTCACAGACAGAGTCTCTGGAGAAGGACAAGGTCCCT